ATGCAGATAGTGAAATATGAATGTATATGGAGTAGTCCACATGCTTGATTGAAGAATTTCCTCCAAGGGACGATGGAGATGAGACACCAGGGAAAAGGTAAGGTGTCTGATCTAACGAGAAGACACCTGGAATAAATTATGGGAATAAGACAATAAGGAAGAACAAGCCAATTTAATTAAAAGCCAAACCCAATTGGTCAGAGTGGAAAGAAAATTATCACAAACAGTGGATGTTTGCCAATGAATAAATAGGCAAGAATCGCCACCATGGAAGGAAGCTGTGCAAGCAATGAAGAGCATGAACAGGAGATAGTAGCCTATACAGATCCATCTGAGGATAAATGTAGGAAATGGAAGGAAGGAAAATCTGAGAGAAGAAGGAATTACCCTCCCAAGCTGCTGAAGGTTTGGGAAGGAAAGATCGATCTGGATAAAGGAGAATATATATAGAATGATATAGAATATGTGAAACGTTGATGGCAAAAAAATCCGATTGATGACGTCCACAGGCTAAGAAGAGAAGGAAATAGGTCTTAAGGGATAAGTGAAAAATCAAGCACGAGGACAGTTGTTCAAATGGAGGCAGTGAAGAACCGCATTAACATATCAATCTAGAAGGACAGCATGCTGAGGTGGACGACTAATCTAGAAGGGATGCTAAAAGAGGGAAAGGGTAGGAGATGTAAAAACTTTACAGTACTGAGAAAAATGAAAAGTGTGGGATAAGGCAGCCTAATAACCCATGATCGAGAAAAAAGAAGACCCCTGATCAAAGAGCCAAGTGAGGAAATACGTAATATGAGGAACAGTGGGTCTAGCAAATGAAAACCTTTAACCCAACAACCAATAGCAGAAAACGTTCCACTTACGTTGATACACATCCCTAGAGGAAAGGCAAATGGAACACGCTAAAAAAGAAACAACTCGCTGGGACAAACCAGATCTCCTCGCCAAGGACCAGATAAAAACCAGGTATGAAGACGGAGGATGATCGAAGTTGGTGTAGAAGGGATGGAGTAAGAGGAAGAGGTAATGGAAGGACAGATTGGAGCTGGAGCAGATGCAAAATCACAGTTGTGCTGGCCAATAAAGGGCAATCAGAAAGACTTGACATGGAGTGGCATGGATGATCGACATCACCCTGTGAAGAAGACAGATGGGATGATATACATATAGGTATTTGTTGGTCCAATCTTGACTGAAAGCAGAGACCAAAACAGTGGTAATTTGGTATTGAGGGATATGGCAAATGCATCCAGGTGAGAAGTACCCCACTGAAGGCATAACCAATGGAAAACAAGAAAATTGAGAGACCACTCCATTGGATAAACTTTGTCTAGGCAGGAAAAATGATCAACAACAAGATTGAATGCCCCAGAAAATGACACGCAATGAAATGAACGCTAAGCATGTGGGCCAATAAAAGGAGATCCAAGTTTCAACCACAAAGGGAAAGAGGACAGGTCTTGGTGATTGATACAAGCCACCACTGTAGAATTGTCAGAATGGATCATGATCAAATGGTTCTTAGCAAGATGAAGAAAATGATCCAAGGCACGATATACAGCCAGAAGCTACAGAATGTTAATAGGGTAAGACCTTTTGGCCAGAGACCACCGACTTGAAGCTTCCTGCTGATTGACCCACGATCCCTGCCCTGAATGTAAATGTAGATCAAAATATGTAAATCTGGACGAGGGGAGGAAGTGGAACACCCACCAACATGTGAGCCTTGTCCAACCACCAATGCAGATCGTCTACAAGGGAAGGAGGAAGGGAAATAGGAGCCTCCAATGGATCACCCACAAGATTCCATTGGTATTGCAGACAACTCAAGAGACCACATATGTGCTTGGCTCAAGGGGATAAGGACTCCCATGGAAGACCATATCCCCAAAAGTGATAGAACCTCGCGAGCTCTAAGAGAGAAAGCAGTAAAGGCATGGAGAACTGAAAGTTCCATCAAATGAAGTCAAAGAGGAGAAGGTTGGGACCAACTAAGATGAGTGTTGGAAAAGACATCCAAATGGACAAGATATTGGGTAGGTATGAATAATGACTTCTCCAATTTGATAAACCAGCCCACACAAACTGCCTCCATGAACAGCAAATTAGTGTGATGGGTGGACTCCTGATCAGAATGAGCTAACAAAGCCAATCGTCCATGTAACAATGGAAGCACAACCCCCGAGTATGTAAATGTTAGATAAATGCCTTGACCACTCGACAAAAGACATATGGGGGCCAAAGCAAGCCTTAAGAGCAGGGTGCAAAATTGATAAACTATCCCATTATGAACAAACCGAAGATATCGATTGATGAGATATTGAAATATGCAGGTAAGCATTCGCAACGTCTGTCTTGATCATCCACAAACCTGAAGAAAAAACCCCACCTGATTGTGAGAACATATTCCACAGTAAACTGGAGTAGAACCAAGAATTGATTGAGCAGGAGAAATCCATCACAGGCTGCCAGTCCCCAGTTTTCTTTGGTACTACAAACAGCCTGGAATAAAAACCTGGAGAAGGATGATTGACAGGTTAGATGGCCTACTGGGAGAGAAGATCTTGTACTGCCTCGGACATATGTTGACTGGTGGTAGGATCCTGAGGCAATGCAAAGGAAAAGGGTACCTGAGATAACGGAGGAGGGAAAAGAAGGTGTATGACGAGCCCCTCAAATAATACCCAAATAACCCACATATCTGTGGCAAAAAGTCCCCAAAGAGGAACAAAATCAAACAAGTGAGCCCCTACTGAACCAGAACCCACTGGGTAGTCACCTGTACTGTTGGCAACGTGTCCATCTGCTTTGAATAAAAAGAGAAGGTGAGGAACCCCTGGAGGGAGGAACAGGTAATGACTGAGAAGGAGCTGGATGGGAAACAGTAATAGGGGCATGTCTAGGCTCAGAATGCAACAAAGAATACACCAAAGAGAAAAGGGTAGTTTTTTGTTGCACCAACTCCACACAGGATTCAAGTCTCAGGAATATTACTGTAAACTAATAATGGCTGGAGACGGCTTGAATGGGTAATGAAGAAAAACTTTAATACAACAGCAAATGTACAACGTTTCGACAAGGTTTTGTCATCATCAGGTGATGACAAAACCTTGTCGAAACGTTGTACATTTGCTGTTGTATTAAAGTTTTTCTTCATTACCCATTCAAGCCGTCTCCAGCCATGATATAACAGTAGTTTTTAACTACGTTTTGAGTGCAGTTTGTCAGAATTATACACAAGAAAATTTGCATAGATTTCATTGCTTGATTTTGTCGCTCAGTTAACTTGATTCAG